GGAGATGGAGGCGACTGAAACGAAAATATATGCTTAAAGTACTTTGCTTCCTCCTTCAAAATATCATTTGATAAATCATGGTTGCCTCCGTCATTTGTAACCAGTTTCAGTAAATTATTTTTGGTAGCATTTCTATGTTGAAGATTTACAAATAATTTGGTGCATTTTTCTACATATTCCATCCAGTTTGCTTTCTTTTGATAATATATTACACTTGATCTTTCTTGAATAAGTTCCTCCATTTATTTTTGTATTTCCTTAACTTATTCTGAGCCTCTATGGTACAGTTTTTATTGCTATCTATCTGTTCTGTTAGACCTTCTATTTCCTTTGTTAGTCTGGACTCTTTTGACCTAAATTGCTTTTGTTTTCGAGATGAGTACTGAATTGCATGGCCTCTAAAGGCACATTAAAAAGTGTCCCATGCAATAAGGGGATTTGCTGTACCTATGTTGGAAAAATGCAGTTATAAATTCCTCTGTCCTAGTTAAAAATAAGTTATCATTCAATAGCTTTGATTACATTTCCAATATCCTCGCCCACGTGGAAATTCAGTAAGAGTAATGTATATGACAATTATCTGATGGTCTGACCGCATTCTGTCCCCTATCAACACTTTTAAACTTTTGGTGCCAACAAGAATGACGTAAGAAAGTAGTCAAGACGACTAGCTTGATTGAGTCTTCGCCATTTATAGGTCAGGATATTGAAGCCTCCATATATCCACTAGTTCTAATATATCCATGACATTCATGATTTCCTTAAGAGCATGAGGGTGATAGTTTGTAGTGTGATTTCCTTTACGGTCCATTGAGGTATTTAAAACATAATTATAATCTCCCACCATAATAATAGAGTATTGTACTGCTTGCAGGGTTGATCATTTATTATATACATTACGTTCAAAAGTTTGGGGTCACTTAGAAATGTCCTTGTTTTCGAAAGAAAAAGCAATACAGTGTAGACATTGTTAATGTTGTAAATGGCTATTGTAGCCTGAAACTGCTGATTTTTAATGGAATATCTACATAGGTGTACAGAGGCCCATTATCAGCAACCATCAGTCCTGTGTTCGAATGGCACATTGTGTCTGCTAATCCAAGGTTATCATTTTAAAAGGCTAATTGATCATTAGAAAACCCTTTTGCAATTATGTTAGCACAGCTGAAAACTGTTGTGCTGATTAAAGAAGCAATAGAACTGGCCTTCTTGAGACTAGTTGAGTATCTGGAGCATCAGCAATTGTGGGTTCGATTACAGAATCAAAATGGCCAGAAACAAAAAATCTTCTTCTAAAACCCGTCAGTCTATTCTTGTTCTGAGAAATGAAGGCTATTCCATGCGAGAAATTGCCAAGAAACTGAAGATCTCGTACAACGCTGTGTACTACTCCCTTCACAGAACAGCGCAAACTGGCTCTAACCAGAATAGAAATAGGACAACTGAGCACAACTGAGCAAGAGGACAAATACATTAGAGTGTCTAGTTTGAGAAACAGACGCCTCAAAGGTCCTCAACTGGCAGCTTCATTAAATAGTACCCGCAAAACACCAGTCTCAACGTCAACAGTGAAGAGGCGACTCCGGGATGCTGACCTTCTAGGCAGAGTTGCAAAGAAAAAGCCATATCTCAGACTGGCCAATAAAAAGAAAAGATTAAGATGGGCAAAAGTACACAGACACTGGACAGGGGAAGATTGGAAAAAAGTGTTATGGACAGACAAATCGAAGTTTGAGGTGTTCGGATCACAAAGAAGAACATTTGTGAGACGCAGACCAAATGAAAAGTTGCTGGAGGAGTGCTTGATGACATCTGTCAAGCATGGTGGAGGCAATGTGATGGTCTGGGGGTGCTTTGGAGATTTGTACAGGGTAAAAGGGATCTTGAAGAAGGAAGGCTATCACTCCATTTTGCAACACCATTTCATACCCTGTGGACGGTGCTTGTTTGGAGCCAATTTCATCCTATAACAGGACAATGACCCAAAGCACAGCTCCAAACTGCAATAACTATTTATGGAAGAAGCAGTCAGCTGGTATTCTGTCTATAATGGAGTGGCCAGCACAGTAACCGGATCTCAACCCTATTGAGCTGTTGCGGGAGCAGCTTGACCGTACGGTAAGTAAGAAGTGCCCATCAAGCCAATCCAACTTGTGGGAGGTGCTTCAGGATGTCACGACCGTCGGATACAGAGGACCAAGGCGCAGCGTGGAAAGTGAACATACTTATTTATTAAATGATACACGAACAAAACAACAAATCGATACGTGACGTCCAAAGGTGCAAAACACAAACCTACACAGGAACAAGATCCCACAAACACTGTGGGAAAACAGCCTGTCTAAATATGGTTCCTAATCAGAGACAACCAGCAACAGCTGACACTCGTTGCCTCTGATTGAGAACCACTCTGGACAACATAGATATACATAAACTAGAATAAACAAAGAACACTCACACCCTGGCTCAACATACAAGCGTCCCCAGAGCCAGGGCGTGACAGTACCCCCCCCCCAAAGGCGCGGACTCCGACCGCGCCAACCAAATACCACAGGGGAGGGACCGGGTGGGCACTCCGCCTTGGCGGCGGATCCGGCTCCGGGCATGATTCCCACTCCCTCTCCAACCCCCCAAAGTACCCCTGGTCCGGTCTGGCCCTGCTGGCCGGAGCTGGACTGCACACCGGTGGAGCGGATTGCTCTAGCTCCGGCGTGGAGCAGCTGACCGGTGCCGGACCAGGCACCGGTGGAACAGGCATGGGCTGTGCCGGACTGACGACGCACACCACTGGCTTGGTGTGGGGAACAGGAATGGGCCGAACCGGGCTGACGATGCGCACCATAGGCTTGGTGCGTGGAGCAGGAACAGGCCGGGCCGGGCTGACGACGCGCACCACTGGCTTGGTGCGGGGAGCAGGAACGGGCCGGGCCGGGCTGACGACGCGCACCACTGGCTTGGTGCGGGGAGCAGGAATGGGCCGAACCGGGCTGACGATGCGCACCATAGGCTTGGTGCGTGGAGCAGGAACAGGCCGGGCCGGGCTGACGATGCGCACCACAGGCTCGATGCGAGGAACAGGAACAGGCCGGACCGTACTGGGGACACACACCACTGGCCCTACGCAGGGATCAGGAACGGGCCGGACCGGACTGGTAACACACCCCAGTACCTCTCGCCGTGCCTCTACACTTTCCCTCCCCTCTGTGACCAGTGGCCCCCTTAACCTGGCGGCCTCCTCTGCAAACCCGCTGGACCGCTCTATCGCGGCCTCCTGCTGCCCCGTCGTCCACGGCGTCAGCCCCCCCTAAAAATGTTCTGGGGGTCTCTCCTCCCCGTGGGCCAGGCCCAGTCGAGGTTGATGTCCTTTAGCGATACCTCTGGCGTTGGCTCCTGGACACGCTGCATGGTCCAGTGTTGGTGGGATTTTCTGTCACGACCGTCGGATACAGAGGACCAAGGCGCAGCGTGGAAAGTGAACATACTTATTTATTAAATGATACACGAACAAAACAACAAATCGATACGTGCCGTCCAAAGGTGCAAAACACAAACCTACACAGGAACAAGATCCCACAAACACTGTGGGAAAACAGCCTGTCTAAATATGGTTCCCAATCAGAGACAACCAGCAACAGCTGACACTCGTTGCCTCTGATTGAGAACCACTCTGGACAACATAGATATACATAAACTAGAATAAACAAAGAACACTCACACCCTGGCTCAACATACAAGCGTCCCCAGAGCTATGACACAGAAAGCATGGGGTGAAATCTCTTCAGATTACCTCAACAAATTGACAACTAAAATGTCAAAGGTCTGCAAGGCTGTAATTACTGCAAATGGAGGATTCTTTGACGAAAGCAAAGTTTGCAGGACACAATTATTATTTCTATTAAAAATCAATTTTCTAACCTTGTCAATGACTACATGTCCTATAAATTTTGCTATATTTCCTATTCAAACTCATCTCATGTCTGTTTTCATGGAAAACAAGAACATTTCTAAGTGACCCCAAACTTTTGAACGGTACCGTATATTTTCAAAGAAGCGTGGATCATCATTATTTGGTCCATAAAGGTTAATGAGCCATATCTGTTTACGGTCCAATAACATATTTAAAATCATTCATCTACCTTGCGGAATTGTTTGGACAATTTGTAAATTCAGATCAAAGTTACTGTTAATTAATATCATCACCCCTTTTGAGTTTCTTTGCCCATTGGAGAAGTATATTTCGCCCCCACAGTCCTTTTTCCACACAACTTCATCTAAAATTGTTGAATGAGTTTCCTGTAAACAATAGATATTATATTCCTTCTCTTTAAGCCATGTAAATATTGTTATTTCTTTCGTATTAACTGCTGAGCCATTACAATTATAACTGGCTATACTTATTTCTCCATTTACCATAATGAGATACAAGTTTCAAATCTATTTATCATAATATATGTTTGTAAATTTACCATTAAAAAGTGATTGCATGTCCATATAGCTGTACAATGATATTGCATTGCCACTAAGCACCTCCACATCCCAAGTTGGGTTGTCATCCCAGTGATCGGCAGACCACCCCCGTCCCCCCGGATCACTAGGCCCCCCGAGAGGCCAGGACCCATCCTCCGAAAACAGAACAAATTGCCACACATAGAACAGAAGCAGGTCAACCGCTAAAAGTATTTCCAATGCTCTCACCTCAATTTGCTTTATATATATAGCTATTAAAAATATCTATCTATTCCAAATATCTTGCATGTCTTAATTTCCATCATTATCAATTAATATGCATAATCATTTTGGCAGTTAATGCAAAGGATTGTTACCTATAACCAGGATTGTAATTGCATTACATAACATTTTTGTCAAGCAATTATTAAGTTAGCAAACAACTATTGTGGTTCATCCTTTATTCTCCCTAACATCCTTACCCCCTTGCAACAGATGTGGGATACATACACACACACACTCTTACACACTCAACTCCTTTCCCCCACAATACACCATAAGCGTCAGGCCAACCTCATCTGAATCGAGAGTAGCAGGCCAAACGCTGTATCAAATGGAAAGTTCAATCGATTAATGTCCTTACTTTTGTCGGCTTTTTTAAGAAGTTACATTTACACAAATGTGACCGTTTCAGTGTAAAGTAGGAAATGCAGAGATCGTGTGAAAAAGGAGGATTATCTGCTTGACTTCTTATTTGGTCGCTACTTCGGACGCGGAACTCCACACGCTATAGGTGAACGATGACCGAATACAAGCTGGTGGTGGTGGGAGCAGGAGGCGTGGGCAAGAGCGCACTCACCATCCAGCTCATCCAGAACCACTTTGTGGACGAATATGACCCCACCATCGAGGACTCGTACAGGAAGCAGGTGGTGATTGACGGGGAGACGTGTCTGCTGGACATCCTGGACACTGCAGGTCAGGAGGAGTACAGCGCCATGAGGGACCAGTACATGAGGACAGGGGAGGGCTTCCTCTGTGTCTTCGCCATTAACAACACCAAGTCCTTCGAGGACATCCACCACTATAGAGAGCAGATCAAGAGGGTGAAAGACTCGGAAGACGTGCCCATGGTGCTGGTGGGAAACAAGTGTGACCTGCCGTCCCGGACGGTGGACACCAAACAGGCTCAGGACTTGGCGCGCAGCTACGGCATCCCCTTCATCGAGACCTCGGCCAAAACCAGACAGGGTGTCGATGATGCGTTTTACACATTAGTGCGGGAAATCCGAAAACACAAGGAGAAGATGAGCAAGGAGGGCAAGAAGAAGAAAAAGAAGTCCAAGACAAAGTGTATACTCATGTGAATAATGACCAGCCCCCTTTTCAAGATAGACAAAAAAAATGTGTTAAAACAGTTCAAGTAATACATTTTTGTACATTATGCTAAATTATTAGCCTCTTTATCTTACTACCCAAATTACTGAATATGGAAATGAACCCTATTTTTTTCTGTCTTTTTCTCTTATTTTGAAACCAATAAGCTTTACTTTCTGTTTAGTGCCAGTTGCCCAGAAGTGTTGGTCCGATAGGTTGATTATCAATTAGGAGCGGTAGACAGTAAAACAAAGGACTTTATTCAACAGCCAAGTTCACATCTATAGGGACATTTTGGACAACAGAGAAAGCAAGCCTAAAAAGCTTATTTTCCCTCTGCTGGTAGAGCATGAGTTGCTCCTAACAGTATGGGGCGCCAAATAGTTGAATTCCATCCCATTCCATTGGACAAGGAGTAACAACTGGGAGGCAGGACCAACACTTGATTGGGGGAAATTCCAAATGTCCTGGCCACTGTGTGTAATAATGCCCATCCTCCTACTTTAAACTCCTAGATATGATTCAATAATGTCATGCAGTACTTGAAGCATGCATGTGAACTTTACTACTGTTTCTAGTAAAAACAATGTCCTGGTTACCCATTTTAATTAAGTTGTAATCTGTTAATGCTTTTTTGTAATTTGTGGGTAGTGATTTCCTGCCCACAGGAGAGACTTTCCTTTTTGCATGCAATGTGTTCTTACTAGTCAATGGGGAATGGCACAGTGATACTAATACTGTACGATACTGATACAGCCAGTTGGGCCACATAGGTTTTTATAGTGTTTCGGGACTCGAGTCGATCCGCCGCGACCGGGAGACTCATGGGCGGCGCACAATTGGCCCAGCGTCGTCCAGGGTAGGGGAGGGAATGGCCGGCAGGGATGTAGCTCAGTTGATAGAGCATGGCGTTTGCAACGCCAGGGTTGTGGGTTCGATTCCCACGGGGGGCCAGTATTAAAAAAAAGATGTATTCACTAACTGTAAGTCGCTCTGGATAAGAGCGTCTGCTAAATGACTTAAATGTAAATGTAAAAATAAGCTCCGATGCTCAACGGTTGTTACATCCCAGAGCCCAACTCAAGAAAGTAACTGATTTACGAATGCATATACAGTTACAGCTGTTTGAGAAAGCATGCAGATTGACAAACATTTGAGATTTGATTAACCAATGTCAAGTCCTAGGTGATGGAGATCAGATCCACCCCCTTCCCCTGAAACATAGACACTCTGGTCCCCCGTTGTAACCATTTTCCCAAGCATCTCTGTGCAGTCAGACCTTTGATTATTTTGTGCCACCAGGGCCACAATAACTTGCCCCCTCTCTGATTGTCAGAGTGTGACCCCCTCCCCATGGGTTACTGCAGCCAGTGTTGCCAGCACTGCCACTAACTGGGTGGGGGTACCCCACCGGAATCCCCACCGGCAAGGTACAAGGTCGTCAAGGTTCCCATTAGCAGCTTTGAGAATTTCCTTGTATATTATGCTCTCCCATCAGGGGGCTCTGGCTTTGTAGGACCAACCCTGCCAGGCAGGCTCAGAATCTTGAAGGGGCAGTGCTGCTCTAGTAGGTCTCTGAATGCATTTTACTTTCTGTTTTGGCTGCATATAGGCAACTTACAGCAGGGCCGTAAAACAGATGGGGACTTCTCTTTGGTGTATGGGTCGCTCAGGTTGGTGTCTAGGGTATAGGGTTGGGGACCGTTCCATCATGATAGGACATTAAAAAATTAAATATTTTAAATGTATATACCTCATCTGCACAAAATTGAAAGCTCTCTCTCACAATCCCTGCTCACAGACCCACATTGGTTCTGGGATAGGCAACCATTTCCTTTCTCACTCACTTAACGCCACACTTTTCCAAACACAAAAACACACCACACCTTCCATCCCAATACATCCACACATACCCACATACTGTGCCTTCTATGTCTTCTATTTGCTGTGTTTTTATCTCCGCCATGTTGATTGAGTACTTTTGTGTTCTAATTAGTTATATATGACGATGTATTATTTAGCTAGTTATCCTTTCTTCTAATGCAGTCTTATCCCTTTATAAAATACTATAAATACTATACATTTGTTTTATTATTGCAATCCCTATCATGGCTAGTATTTGGTGTTCCATTATTTGACTCCTCTATTAGAACTTTGGATTTTTTTCCGTGTCACGGAACATTTGGTTGTCAATATACAGTTTATCGACAACGAGAGAAACACGCTTCCCTTTTAATCTATTTTCCTTGAAGATTGGATAGAGAACTTTGCGCCGTTCTGCAATCTCCCTCGGGAACTGATAATTCATGCCTATTTTTGTGCCAGCAAGTCTTTTACCATTTAAACATTACTTTATCCTTAAAGAAAGCAAATCTGGCAACGATTGGACGCTCATATCTCTGTCCTCTTTGTCTGAAACGGTGTACACGTTCGAGTTGGATTTTATCGACAACATCGAGTGGAATTTGAAGCGCTGTAGGAAAGAAGTCCTTCACAATTTTTTTGGGAACATCTTCTTCTTTTTCTTGGATACCCATAAGTACTAGATTTTCTCTCATAGATCTAGTCTGTATGTCTAGTAAGGCTTCTCTCAGAAATATGTTATCCTTTTAAGTTAATTAAGGTCAGTTTCTATCTTAGTGACTGTCCCTTTTAGCTTATTTGTTTCTTTCTCCATTATCGCAGCTTTTTCGTCACTCATTTCAAGGCTCACTTTCAACTTCTTTATATCCTTACTGACTAATTCAAGTATGCCCAGTTTGTCATTTATCGACTTGAACAGGTCGCTTTCCACACTTACCAGTCCCAGTGGTGAAAAGCATAAATCATCTGTATTCGTCGAGGAGTTGTGTTTTCTCTTGGAGATTGATTCTCCTCGTTTACCGTCCGTCATGTTTGAGTGTTGCATGTTTGTCTATACATTTCTCCAGCCTTATGATTTGTTTTGTGTTATTATCCAGATTGAATGTTATTACCCACGAGTGTATGAAGTGCTAATATTTAGTCTAACTTACTGATATTGAATATTACGTTTTTATCTTGCGGCGATTGAGGATCTTAATTTGATCAACCTGTCACAGGAAATTAAAACTTGTAGTGTATTTGAGGTTTAAAAAGTATTTTGAAGTTTGTAATTTCCACTTTAAAATTACAGACTTGATTATCCCTTACGAAAGATGTATCAACCCCTACAAAAATGTGCATTAATTAAAATCCACATAATAATGCACATTTCCTATTGCTGCAGGATTATTTTCCTGCTGTAACAAACTGGCTCTCAAATTAAGGTGGCTAGTATTACAGAAAAATTACAACAAAACACTTAAGTTTTTCTTTTTCTTTTACAGGACAAATCTGAGGGGGCAAATCTTACAGGACAAACCTGTGCCCCCTATGGGCTTGACGCCACCACATGACGCGAATCCACTAAATTGTATGTACTGTTTAATTGGTCTGCTCAAATCAATAACGGGTGTAAAACTAATCTATAGTTGAAGTCACGGTCGAGTCGGAAAGGGAGAAAGAGGAGATGAGGCAGTCCAGGAATCGATAGCCTTCTCCGATTACACACTGTACACAAACATTCCTCGCTCCCTCCACCTCCCTTCTTCTACCGTTCCCCCCTTCCATTCTTTACCCCCTCCCTCATTCCTAATCCTCCTCACTCTTCACTTTAACTGATAGCTAGACTCTGTTGAACATGAAAATAGAGCTTGACTCCTCGCCTCACTTTTCACAAATAGAACAGGGGGTGGGTGGACGGATGGTGAAAACAACCATTTCAGAGAGAGCGGGAGAGAGAAAGAGAGAGAGAGAGAGAGATGTGCAGAGAGAGAGAGAGCGATGGTAGAGAGAGAAAGACGGTAGAGAGAGAGAGAGACGGTAGAGAGAGAGACGGTAGAGAGAGAGAGAGAGTAGAGAGACAGTAGAGAGAGAGAGATGGTTGAGAGATGGTAGAGAGCGAGTGAGAAAGAAAGTTGAAAAAGGAGAGTCCGAACTGTAACCCAGGGGGTCTATTAAGATAAGATATCGGTGTTAAGCCACGTAACTTTAACATCTGACGGCAGGTGGCATAGCGGTTAAGCACACTGGGCCAGTAACCGAAAGGTCACTGGTTTGAATCCCCGAGCTGACTAAGTGAAAAACAATCAGTTGGTGTGCCTTTGAGTGAACAGTATGTGTGCCTTCCTAGGCTCAAAGTTGAGCCCTAATCCCTCTGGCTATCTGAAAGGATTAAATGAAAACAGAGATTAGGTCATATGGTGAGTTTCCCCCTAACACACTAAATATGATTAGAGAGTGACAAATGCACATGCTATGCTGATATACAAAAAAAATAGTATTTGATCCCCTGCTGATTTTGTACGTTTGCCCACTGACAAAGAAATGATCAGTCTATAATTTTAATGGTAGGTTTATTTGAACAGTGAGATACAGAATAACAACAAAAAAATCCAGAAAAACGCATGTCAAAAATGTTATAAATTGATTTGCATTTTAATGAGGGAAATAAGTATTTGACCCCCTCTCAATCAGAAAGATTTCTGGCTCCCAGGTGTCTTTTATACAGGTAACGAGCTGAGATTAGGAGCACACTCTTAAAGGTAGTGCTCCTAATCTCAGTTTGTTACCTTTATAAAAGACACGTGTCCATAGAAGCAATCAATCAATCAGATTCCAAACTCTCCACCATGGCCAAGACCAAAGAGCTCTCCAAGGATGTCAGGGACAAGATTGTATACCTACACAAAGCTGTAATGGGCTACAAGACCATCGCCAAGCAGCTTGGTGAGAAGGTGACAACAGTTGGTGTGATTATTCGCAAATTGAAGAAACACAAAAGAACTGTCAATCTCCCTCGGCCTGGGGCTCCATGCAAGATCTCACCAAGAAAGCACATATACAGGCCCGTCTGAAGTTTGCCAATGAACATCTGAATGATTCAGCGGAGAACTGGGTGAACGTGTTGTGGTCAGATGAGACCAAAATC